TATTAGTCTTTCGAATATAGGACGTGGCAAGTAATTGGTCCCAGAGATTAATTTCTTTTACTGTACTGTTTAAGTGTTCATAATTTAACAATGGATATAATCATAAATAAACTGATTAAACCTATTTAATAGAAGATTCCATTGTTTTACTTGATGAAATTAATGAAGGATCAAATGTAAAATTAATTTTATGGATGAATTCATTGGCAAAAAGAGGTTATGAAATAAATAGAATTAAAACAGAATATATGCAATTTGAAATTAACAAATACACCTAGGATTGAAAGCCAAGAGATAACTTTTTTTTTCTTTTTTTTTGTGTTTTTAAGCAAGAAATAACTCAATGTGACCTTTTTTGGTACCTTGGTTTGACAATTCATAAAAAATTGAGAGGGATGTTGTCCATATTCTGGTGTCTTATTAATTGTAATAGGCGAATATCACTTAGATTGAAAGAAGATTTCATAAAACTATTATAAGGTCAACAATGCTATATAGAATAAAGTGTTGGGCAGTCAAGAAACATCTCTGAAAAAATAGGCCTGAAAAAATGTATATGCTAAGATAGATGAATGAGAAACTAGAAAGAATATGAATAAAAAAATGTTATTTGAAGGAATTTGGGAGTAACTGCAATAGTTGATATAATAAAATAATTTAGACTTGCATGATTCAGTCACATGCATAAAAGCAAGAGCACCCCACCCATAAGCAAAAGCCATTTGTTATAAGCTGAAGGGGGTAGAAGGGCTAAGGTCAGTTTAAGCACTTGTAATTTATCAGCGGATATGGACATATGACATTCAACAGATCAATGAAATGGTGAAAGTTAGATGATGATGATGATGATGATTCATGTAATAAGGGTTAGAAGTTACATGATGCTGATGGTGGTGGTGGTGAAGACTACAATATTAAGCTAGAAAGAAACATTGGTAAGGATAAGTTCTTATTGCCCCTTTCCAGTGAATACCACATCTGCAGGCTTTCTGAGTCCTCACACAATGTTCTCTATATATTGTCTAATGATATATATAAAAAAAAAAAGGAAATTCGTCAACCACAGCATTTGATCAACCAAAATATAAGAACTAGAACGCCATTAATATTTGTCTAAACTCATTTACGTCTTATATCTTAAATTTCGTGGATCAAGGATAGCGTTCTGGTTGAAGGAGTAGCCATAATAGGGTGAGATCAACTCTCTTTGAAGTTTTTAATAACTCTAAAATCAGATGCCACCAAAGGTGCATTGGAGATTCAGACTTCCCACTAAATCCAATCCCGTTCCCAATGAATTTCCAGTCAACCATAAGTTCCTGATTCAGATTTTGATAGGAGTTTTTATAGTATTACTTTACTGACGAGTTTGTCAACGTTTGTTTGCTTCTTTGTCCTACCTCTGGCTAAAGGTTTTGAATATATGAGCAAGCATTTATCTTCATATTATATACGAGTTATATGGATCTCTGAGAGTTAAATATCACTTTGTAACTTCCTGTGCTGGAGTTGGAGAAGTTTCTCTTCTCATGGCAATGGCGAAGGAGCACGAAATCCTCCTCTCCACCTTGAAAACTCTTCAAGTCTTCTCTTTGTCCAGATCATGGATTCAAGATATATAGGCACCCCCTCTATTTGAGTGTTTTTCTCATCCCTACCAAGAAAGGTATCATCATCCCATTGGGTCAGTAGGAGGAAATTCAAGTGAACTCCACTGGATGATTTGACCATCAACTTGATAAAAGTTTCAAGCCTTAAGGCTCCGTTCGCATTACCTGGATAAATACACTTACCCAGGTAATTGTTTATCAGGAAAGATTTATGGAGGTAAGTGCATTAACCCATATTCTTTTATTTCCCATGTAAATAAGGCAATGCTCATTTTATTCATAAAAATCCATTATTACAAAGGGCACTTTTGTCCCTTTCATATGTTGGCAACTTTCCCCCAAGGTGGGAAAGTTATTTATCCACCTAGGAGATGGGTATCACTTATCCGGGTAAGTGATACCCAGGAAAATAATTTTTCCCTGATCCCCACATAAATCTGAAAAAAAGAACAAAGGATTTTTGGTCAATGGGAATCAAAATCCCATTGACCAACTTTCCCCTCTCTCAAAATCCTCTCTCTCTTTCTCTCTCTCTCTCTCTCTCTCGGGTTTAAGTAGAGCTCAGATTTTTGAACTGTTTATCTGGAATCTTGAACTTCAATGGCGTCAATCCCCTGTTCTATCCAACTAAATAAACCTTCATCAACTTCTGGGTCCTCTTCTTTTTCTAAGTTCAGTTCCCAATTTCTGGCCATCAGGAGGAGGCTGGGATGGTTTAGAGCTTGCAAAACCGGTTCTAAAATCAGACCCAGTAGTGCTTCCAAGGCCAAATGTTGGTTGAAGTTTAGAAAAAGGGATTTTGATGCCGAAGATGCTGGGATATACGGTTGCTAGAGCCATGGCAATTTTGACCGTGATGATATTAAATAGGTACTTTATCTTGATTGTTTGTTATTTCTTGCTATTCTTATTCCTATTCAACATTTGGGTTCTGAAAATTTTTTGCTTTCCTGATTTATCAGAATTTTTGGAACATCTCATGCTTTTCCTTCAATTGTGCATCCTTTTTATTGTGTTGATGTTCTATCAGCCTATTTCTTTCTGAAGACTGACTTTTCGTTAAGGCTCTTATAAACTTTTGATTGGATCACTACAGTGAAGCAACAGTTCATGAATATAGATGGTGTTGGATCATATATAGTGAAGCAGTGATTTTACCCTGAAAATGTATCAACTAATCCTACATCTTTGGGGAATACAAAATGATCATTCCAGTTATATGGAAAAGCTCATTCATGTTCCCTCCCCACACATTGTTTTAATGGCCCCATTTGTGTTCAGAAGACAATGCACTCAAGTTTGGTAGAGTTTCAATCAAGATTCAAAGTATCAATACGCATTGACCCGTATCATGCCGATGGCTTCCCGATATGCCTTTATAGGAGTTGTATCGGGTCAGACCATGGTTCAGAGGGTATCCAGAACTTAAACTGACCCCTCTGAACTGGTTTTGAGAAAAAAAATAAATAAAACATAAAAAAAAACCGACACAGACTGATACACCCTATTGGCGTATCAGCCTGTGTCGATCGATATTTAGAATCTTGGTTTCAATAATAAATACCACCACCTTCTTTTGCAGTATTTCAATTACATGGGAATGATTGCAGCTGAGGGTTCTTATGATGAGATGTATGCTCTTTTGGCTGTGTTTGGTTGCAATGCAAACAAATTTGTACTGATGCAAAACTATGGCAATACAAATGATTTGAGTGTAAATTCTGACCTATTATTCTTTCAAATTTTAGCTTATTTTGTTTGATTGCAGTACAAATGAAGTAAATTAAGACATGAAGCAGAATAAAATAAAATTAAACCAGAATTTGCATTTTTTTCATTTGCACTCCCATGCATGTGTACTAGTGAGAGCTGGTAACATTATACTGTCAAAGACTCTGATGGTGGGATAGCTAAAACTGAAATAAAAAAATAATAAACATCTATTTACAAACAAATCATTTTCCATATATTTGCATCAGTACAAATTAAATTACACTACAAACAAATCAGGTCTAAGGGAAAAAATGCAAATTGGAATCTTGATTAATAGGCCAAAGAAAGATGAAAGAATTGTGAAGCCTAAAACCTGGTATTATGAGATTTTCCCTTTGTGGGGTCTGTCCAGAAACAACTAACCCATCAAACCAAATACCATTGAAAGAAAAGCATAATATGTATAAAGATACTGAAAGTTCCATTTCTCTGCTACATATAGCACCACAAGTTAGAACATACTCTACCACCATGGCAAAACTTTTATTTTATAGTTGTTAGAGAATATCAATCTATTCAAGGATTTCATCTAACAGCTTAAGCTTTTAGGTTGAATGGTTCTCTGAGATGGTATCAGAGCCACTTTTGACCAAGTGGTCTAGTGTTCGATTCTTATTACCCCCATTATAGTTAATTAAGTTTCAGCACAAGGTATGGGTGGGCCTGTACTTGTTCACACTTCAAGCCCAATGAACTTTCGTGTGAGGGGGCATGTTAAAGAATATCAACCTATTCAAAGACCTCATCTAACAGCTTAAGCTTTTAGGTTAAATGATTCCCTGAGAATAGTAAATACTAACCCATGAACCAAATAACAAACTATAGAAATGTTTGATAGTATACCAAGCTCATTAAGTACTTGGCCAACTGTGAGAACTGCAAATCCAAATCCTAACCAAGTGAAGTAATGAATAGATCACTAATGTTCTTCCCATGACAGAACCAGCTTGTGGTTAATAAAGAAATATTTTGTATTATATCAAGAATTTATATAAATACAAGAATGAACAAAAATAGCACAGTATCCATGCAGGGATTCCGGAATAACACTTATTCTTCACCCCCAACCTCTTCTGGACACACATTCACAGATGACAGACCAGTGACAAGCTAGGCAGGAGTAAAATCTGTTTGCAGTTTTATGCTGTTCTCTAAAGATCAAAGAAGTGATTCTCCTGCTAAATAGAAAGTGGGATACGGTTGTTATTGAGAGTGATTGCTTGAACCTGGTCAATCAGCTAGCGGATCAGAATTCTAATGGAGATGCGGATGTTACATTTTTGCTGCAAGATAGTCTCTCTAAAAAATAAAGGTCTTCATGTTCGTTTCTGTTTTGTTAAGCACTTTAGTAATTCTATCTGCGGCCCATTCCCTTGCTCAGAGAGGCCTATGGGACTGTGGGGACTAGTCAGCTCTTTTCTCTTCATGGCTTATGGCCCTTCTGGGAGCTAGCGGCAATTAGTACTTTGTGGGGAGATTTGCTTCATTGTAATTTTATTGTCAAGATTAGTTCTGCTTTGTAGCTGTAGTTTACTCTATGCTGTTCACATGGCACGGGAGCAAAAGAAAGGAACAATTAGAAGACGAGCACCACTGTGTTATGAAGAACAAATTATATAGTTGAAGGCTTGAAGCAAAGCCATAAATTAACTAAATATTGAAGGGTATACAGAACTTAGCTGAATTTCCAGTGTACAACAGCTAAATAAAGAAGAAACAAATGTACTTGACAAGTTTTTTCTATTGGCCTCAAAATTGGATCCATCCTCTCATTTCTCCATTATTTTATTGGTATACCTATATTCTTCTTCTTGTTACTTCCCCTTAAATTTATTTCATTTTACAAACTATGACGTGGGTAGATGGCAAGAATACCGTAATTTTGGATGTGAACCAAGAGCTTGTTTCAATGCAACATCCAGTCTTGCCCCTTCCCGGAATAACCTATCATATAGTTCACAAACAAACCGTGATAACTCCTGTTCATCATCGTCCACCCAACAACTTGTTCGTTGCTCCCCACTTTTCTCTACGTCACTGTCTTCCCAGTCACTCACCGGACTTACAGGTTCTACATCTTCATCGTCAGCCTCCTCGTCTCCAATTTCAAACCTCCCATTCTCCAAACCAAACTCACCTGGGCCATTAAATGTTGTTGACTGATTCTCCGGAGGTTCACTCGATGGACAAACAACAGCTTTAGCACCAGAGTCTAGAAAGGCTTTCACTAAACTTCGGGTAGGTCCATATGTCCCAGTGCAGACTATGATCCTATCCCTCCATGCTCCAACCTAGAGATTTGACGAAGTCACAAAAAAGAGTAACTTGATGAGTACCAGGAGTAAAATGAGCAAAACATAAGCGAATTCAAGAAATTGTTATTAGTAGGATGGAAGCAACCATTTCTCAATTCAAAGTTCCAAGAAATTTTCTTAAGAAATCTCAAATTTCTCACTGGTGATTCAAATGTGGGTACTTCAGTGTAATTAGATGCCCAGAGGAGGGAAATCAGAGCCTCGACTCATGAACCTCTAAAAAAAACTTAATTCTGGGCTTGATGGCTTTTTATTTGGTAGAATGGGCTTGATGGTTTGATGATTGCAAAGTGCCCAAATGTACTGGACATGCTAAACAGTAACAATGGAGGGCCAAGGTGAAAGAATATATTGGAAATGTAGCAATATACAATGCACCATAATAAGACAAGAAGAAATCAACAAAGCAAATACAAGTATTATACCATCCAACGAACATCTTCAGCTGTTAGGTGCATAGAAGGAACTGTTCTGCGAAACATGTAAGCCCCAATTTCTTGGTCATCTTCCATGACCTTCACATTGCATCATAAGAATAATTAGCTCCATTGCTTACAACAAAAGATGAAATCAGACAACTCAGAAGTAGGTAACAGACAAAAAAGCATACTTGTGTTTGGCGTCCAATATACCGATGGACAACACATCCAACTTGGAAGTAAGGCCTGAATGCAACCAAATCAGCTATAGTAGAGACATTCGCTAAAGCTGATGCATCCCTTCTACTACGACCCCGAATTATTGACGACAAACTAAATTTAACATTCTGTAGAAATCTATCTGCAAGTTCCCCAGGTTCAGCAACCACAAACACATCATTCTGCCAACTGAAAAACCAATATCAAGTGGGCTTAGGACTGAGATTAGAAAATCTCTTGGAAGCAGAATATTTATGCAAAAAAGATACAGAAACTTCACCTCATGATTAAACCAACTGAATCATTTTGAAGAGCCAAATGAATAATGCCCACCTGGGGCAAGTTTTGTAGCTTCTCATGCAATGATCTGACAGGAGAGTTAAGCTGTCGAGGTCCCGAGGGAGATTTTGGTGGTGAGGAAGGTCCCTTTCCACTTTGAAAACCATCCAAACTCAGTGGTGGGACTAAATCAATTCGGCTAATCCTTGGAGGACCAACTTCAGGACTGTATAAAAGCGGGGTTGATGGGAAGCTTCCAGTGAACAAAGGTGATGTAAATGGAGTAGGAAATGTTGTTGCTGGCACTGCCTTTGAGAATCCTGATACTTTGCTCACAAGAGACAATCTTATACCATTACGTGCACAAAATGTCTCCAGAGACCGAGCATGGTGGACAATTCTTCCTGAATCAGGACTATGAGAAGCTTCTACAAGAAGTATCATACGCCTCCAGCCTAAAGAAGGGCTGTTCTCATCTAGCACTGCATCATAGCAGAATGAAGTTACATGTTAAAAACTTTTGGTTGGGAATAAACACTGATAGTGGATGAGGTACACAAACCTACCTGCATTTGAAGCTTTTGTTTTAGGAATTTGCTGCGGCTTAAACTTCTCTGACAATTTCTCTTCATTTTGGTATGGTAAAACCAATCTTTCACATAGACTTTTAAAGGCCTGGGAGTTACTTTGTATGTACTCCTCAGTTGCAGCTTCCAGTTTCAGCCAAACTGCAGGATCTGTCTCATCCAGTTCCATACCACAACGTTCATCAACTGTACAAATGCATTCAAATAACCATTCTCAATTACTCAATCAAAACTTCAAGGGAAGTTTTCAGTCATTAATGAAGATGAACTTTTGACAAGGGAAGACCCTGGCAACTGGATTAATTTGAAACAAACAGAACAAAACTTGTAAAATATATCCATGTAGATCATAGGACGAGAGCATACACAGACTTCACCTGGATTGAATTAAAAATATTGTATTTCAGGGAGCTACTTCACCTGGATTGAATCTATAATATTGTATTTCAGGAAGCATTGGCAGCAAAGTGTTCATTTCTTCTTCCACTCGCTCCACTGAGCATGCACTCTCAATCAAAACTTGTCCAGTATCCAGATAACGCCACCCACCTTTTCGAGGCTGAAAATAGATAATGTAATTACCAAAAAGAGGGAAATAACAGCTACTTTGAAGTTCAACAAAGCAACAATAGAAGAATACTTCATTTCTTATACTAGATGCAAGTGCATCTTACACTACAAATCTGAGATCCCACCTGGACTTACAAATAAGAGATCAACCTGGACAAACACATTACCAGATGTATGGTGTATGATGAACTTGTATCCAGCATAAGAAGATAAAAAGGTGCTTACACCATTGGCATTCCTCAATTTAATAACACCAGAGAAACTCATAATGAATTAATGATATGAAGTCAGCATATATATTGATGGAAAAGCCTTACATTTTTTTTGTTTGTTCAATGCTTCTTTATTTGATGCTATTTAATATTTATTTATCTAAACCATGAACTAACCAAGCTCCCAAATCATTTTATTTCTGATCCCAGCATGTGCAAGTTAAGATGTTGATGATGTCTTGGTCTTCAAATCAATGTTTTGAAACATGGATGCATGACAAAAGGCATTCCACTATTCTAGGGCATAAACCAGGAAACAAGAGGCACAAACCTCCCAAACATGAATTTTTTAATTAATAAGTAATTATAGATAAATAAAATACTTGGACCACCCTGATTTCTATTTATAATATCTTATTATAAAAATGGGCTTCAAGTGTGTTTGTGCCCTTTCTACCAATGTTTTAAAACATGGAGGTGTTGACGTGAGGTGTTCAACCACTTAGAGGTGTGAAGCATAGTTCAGAACGTAAGAAGTGTAAGCCTCCCAAACCGAGGCTTAAGAGGAGGGGGATGAGGAGTAAGAAGATTGTTGAGTTTTGGGCTGATATTACTTGTTTTTATTTACATAACATAGTTGGGGAGTTATTAGTTTACTTTGAAGTTAAGAGTGCTTAGTCAGTTCTTACAAGTAGCCGACTTACTAAGGGCATACTTGTCTTTGTACCCTCTTTTATTTGTGAGTATATAATCTAATGAAAGGAGCGGCCAAACCTAATTTTGGCTTCTCCCATTCTCTTCTATCTCTCTTCTCTTTCTTTCTCAATTGAAACATTTTCTTCTCTTTCTTTTCTTCTTTCTTTTACAGTTTTTATATCAAAACAGGTCACCCCAACTTTTCTACTTGGTATCGGGGCCAGTTTAAAGAGTTTTTGAGCTGCTCCATCATGCAGCCCTAGATCGGCCAACTGTATGATGAGGTAAAGGGCTGATCAAAAACTTCAAGTAAACCCAGTTTTTGGATTTTTTTTTTTTTTGGTGGATTTGCAAATTCCTTGTAGCTGGTCTAGGGTTTAACACCAAAATCAGGAAGAAATGGAGAAAGGGGGAGAGCCCTGATTTTAGTAGGACTCTTCAATTTTGACCTAGGAAGTGGCACTCTAGTTTTCTAGGCTTCCTTGAAGTTTTCTGAAGAGGGTGGTTCAAGTCCCAGCCTTTTTGGAAGTCTCTAGAGAGAGCAGCAGCCTCTTCTCTCTCTTCTCCCGCTTCTACGAAAAAGGGAATTTTGGAAGGAGGGGCTTCTAGGGTACTAGGAAGGTGTTTGAGATTTCTAAAGGAGATAAACACCTTTCTTTTCATCTCAAATTGAATCTATTCTAGGAGTTATGGAGGGCTGTAGAGTTGAAAACAAATTTGCAGGTGAAATGGGATCTGGGAGAGGAGGTGTTGGAGACCTCTTCGGGGCCAGGATCATCACTGCAGTTAAGTTGGATAGTACAAACTACTTAGAATGGTTACAATCTGCAAAGATAGCCATTGGTGCTCGTGGGAAATTGGGGTATGTCACCGATGAGGAAAAGAAGCCTGAAACTAACCACTCCCAATGGGTATAGGAGAACTACATGGTGATGACTTAGCTGTGCAATTCCATGTTACCCCATATAAGTAAGAACCTTTTATGGGCTAACACAACTAAGGAGATTTGGGATGGAGTAGTAGAAACCTATTCATAGAATGAGAATGCTGCTAGAGCCTACAAATTGAGAAACCATGTGATTGCTACTAGGCACGGAGAAACCAGTTGAGAAACCTTACGTAACCCCTACAGGTAAGGGGGAACCTCCTTGGATCATAGACTCAGGAGCCTCAGAACATATGGCCAACATTTCCACCATTTCCTCCTCATACCACCTTTGTTCTGGCAGAGATAGAGTTTCCACAACAAATGGATCACATGTTCTCATTGCTAGGAAAGGGTCTGTTAGAATAACCGATACCATTGCCCTACCTAATGTCCTTCATGTTCCTAGACTGAGCACTAATCTTTTATCTGTTAGTAGTTTGATAAAGAATTTGAACTGTTATAATAATTTTTTCTCCTGGTCATTGTGTTTGGTAAGATCTGGAATCAAAGAGGACTATTGGGAGTGGTCATGAGATGAATGGAATCTATCTTCTTGATGTGCTTCCCAGTCATCAGTCATCATGTTAGTAGGAGCATTGAGTCAGAGTCAGTGGGTCAAATTATGCTTTGGCATAATCGGTTAGGGCATTTGTCTTTTACTCCTTTGCGTTTTTTGTTTCCCAAATTGTTTGAGTCTGTCAGTTGGTCCAGCTTGGAGACATTCCTTTAAAGAAAGTAATAAAAGATGTTTTATTTTTTATATTGTTCATACTGATGTGTGGGGGCCATACTATGTTTCCTCTATGGGTGGCCATTGGTATTTTCTTCTGTTTGTGGATGATTATTCTCGATACTCTTGGATATATTTGATGAGGTACCGTCTTTGGTTCAACAATTCCATCAGATRGTGCTGACGCAGTTTGGAGTACATGTGAAAGTGTTTAGATCAATCGATGCCAAGGAATACTTTTAAAAAGAAAACTTGGCATCATACCTATTGGAGCATGGTGTAGTCCATCAGAGGAGTTGTACATACACCCCACAACAGAATGGTGTAGCAGAAAGAAAGAACAAGCATATTGTGGAAGTAGCAAGAAGCATGACGTTGAGCTTTATTGTTTCAGTTCGTTTTTGGGGTGATGCAGTTCTTACAACATCTTTCCTGATTAATCGGGTGCCTTCTTGTGTCCTTGGATATAGCACTCCATTCAGCCTTCTTTTTCTTGAGGGGGARACGTTCCATATTCCTCTAAGGGTGTTTGGATGTGTATGCATTGTCCATGTTCTTGGTCCTCACCTCTTAAAGTTGAATCCTAAGGTGAAGAAGTGTGTTTTCCTTGGGTATGCAGGAAATCAGAAGGRGTATTATTGTTATGATCCAGTCTCCAGGAGTCGGTATGTTACTATAGATGTTACCTTTTTTGAGCTCACACCTTTTTTCTCAAGGGTTCCTCTCAGGGGAAGTGTTTTGGAGAAGTGAGCAATCTATACCACTTCCTATTCCAGTTCCTTTGTCCACTCCARTGTTCGACCTTCCTATGTCACCCACTTTGCCACCTCCATTGCGCACTGTCTCTTAGTGTTTTACACGATAGCGCCTACGACAACGACAACACAGGGAGGTTAATTCAACAGTAGAGGAACCACATCACTCCCTATTGGCTCATCA